CCCGGGTGCCCCCCCCCTCCCCCGTTACCTCCAGAATGCCACGTTCATGGCGTTCCTCTTCTCAGGGCGGTGGAGCTCCACGTGCAGGATATGGTCCCGCTCCGACGTCACCCGCAGCGTCTCAAAGCTGCGGCTGGGCGAACGCCGCTCTGCCGCCTCCGCCGACATCAGCCGGGCCGGCACCCGAAGCGCTGCGGCACCCAGCCTGTCACCGGGGCACTGGGACCCACCGGGGAAGGACTGGGAGTCCCTGGGGAGGTGCAGGGACCCACTGGAGAAGGGCTGGGGCCACTGGGACACACTGGGGAAGGAGTGGAAGTACCCAGGGAGGGACTGGGAACAGTGGGAGAAGAGCTGGGGGCACAGGGACACACTGGGGAGGGACTGGGACCCACTGGAGAAAGGCTGGGGGCACTGGGACACACTGGGGAAGGAGTGGGAGTACCCGGGAGGGACCGGGCCCTGCGAGAGAAGAGCTGGGGGCATTGGGACACACTGGGGAGGGACTGGGAGTGCCTGGGGAGGGGCAGGGACGCGCTGGAGAAGGGCTGGGGCCACTGGAACACACCAGGGAGGGACTGGGAATACCTAGGGAGGGACTGGGACCTGTTGGACAAGAGCTAGGGGCACTGAGACCCACTAGAGACGGTCTGGGGCCACTGGGACACACTGGGGAAAGAGTGGGAACCATTGGGGAAGGGCTGGGGGAACTGGGACCCACTGGAGAAGGGCTGGGGGCACTGGGACACACTGGGCAGGGACTGGGAGGTGCTGGAGAAGAGCTGGGACTCACTGGGGAAGGACTAGGAATCCCTGGGTAGGGACTGCAGAGCTCTGGGACCCACTGGGGAAAGGCTGGGGGCCACCGGGACGCACTGGGGAGGGACTGGGACCCACTGGGGTAGGACTAGGACTCAGTGGGATCCACTAAGGAAGGACTGGGAGGCACCGGGGGTACTGGGAAAGAACCCCAGCGTCCGGGGGGGGGCTCAAAGGGGGCACG